GGAGATAGACTATTAGAGAAAGGTAGGATCCCTCTGAACGGCGTACATATGGCTACAGTAATCTTGATGTTGAACTGTTTGATGTTGGAGTGCAGTTTTTGGGCTGCAAGGCCGTAGCCCCTCGAAGGATCTAAAAGAAAACCCGAGTGTAGCGAACACCAATAATTGAGTGCCATCATGAATAGCTAAGTGTAGAAGTTAGTGCCAAGTGGCTGTTAGTAGGACTTATATCTACTTAATACTAATGAAACTGAACATAAGTGCAAATCTTAATACTACTTAACAGCTAGACGGACAGCGCGAACACAATGACAAACTAGACGAGACGAACGGACCGACAAACGAGCAAGATCTCCAATTTTTTTTTTTTTTTTTTTTTTTGTTATGTATACATAACAGCAGGGAAAGTAAAAGTGGGTTTACGTTCCAAAACAAATTTTTTAAATAAAAATGTTATCTATCGTGTAAGAAAAAAAAAACAGTTTTATTTAATTCAGAGAATTTCATTTAATAAAACATGAATTACAATAGAAAAACAAACTTATTGAAATTCGTAAAATACGATTTTGATCTTTCGGGATTGATATGAACTTATGACTTTAGATAATAAGCGTGTACGAGTTAGTTTATTAAATGCCATTTTCAGGAACGCAACTGAAAAAAAAAAAAAATTATAAGCAACATGCAGCTTACAGACAAAATTCTAAAAGGAAGTTCTGATGTATAAAATTACATACTTGTTAGCACAGAAGAGTATTTTACGTTTCTCTAACAAGAATAAAAATCTTTCATTATTACAGAGAAAAGTTTACACAATTTAGAGGAAAATTGCACAATATACATTGGCAAATAATATTGTAGTAACCAGGTGGTAGTAACTGAAAGAACATTTACTAGAATAACATAAACAGATAAATTCCTCTTATATCGAAATCGCGTTATACAAGGATTGCTGCAATTTGTGAGCCGCATCATATGAGGTTTACATGTATCTAGTATGTTATAGAGTAGAAAAGAAATGTTGAATAAATAATGTTCTTATAGGATTAGTGTATTTGTAAAAAAAAATGTTAATGTAATCTATCGACTACAGTATGAGTATATGATGAATAATAAAATAACATGCTAGTATGAAAAATATAAGTAAAAATTAATAGGTATAGGTAGAAATTAAATATGAAAGAAGAACGTTAACAAAACTGTCAATAAAATGACAGTTTTGTTAACATTTACTTTAATCTTTAATTTCGTTAAAATGATATTATTGATAGATATTATATTAATGTATTTTCATTAGAAACAAGTCGCGCCCTCAATACTCAATACTTACTCAATTAAGAAAATTTTGAAATATAGGTTAACTCATTTAGAATTTTTATTGAACTTATTAAAGATTTGTGAGAATAAAGTCGGCTGCCCGCATTAATAAAAGCGAAGGGAATTATTCAAAATTTAAAAAATAATCACCGAATTCTGTCAATTATCTTTTCCCAGACTTTTCTGTCCTCATTAAAGTTCTATGAAAGATTCACGGATGGCTTACTTTGATCGAATTCGAAATTAATTCACGTTTCACGGAGAAATTCAATAGCATTAAATTTCTTTTATTCATAATTTAGCATATTTCGTAGCTCCTTGTCATTTAAATATAACGTAAACAACCTTTTATTAACAGTATTTANGTATATTTCATAGGTAAAGAACCAAAGATGATTGGTGTAAAATATGACAGTGCTGTGATTTACTAATAAAGAGTTATGAACCTAAAATAAAACCGTATGTTATTTTGTACGTATTTCCCGTACTATTACCAATTCTAAGATATGGTCTCTAACCGCTTTTATCGTTTTAATATTGTAAATGTTTAGTATATTTCATAGGTAAAGAACCAAAGATGATTGGTGTAAAATATGACAGTGCTGTGATTTACTAATAAAGAGTTATGAACCTAAAATAAAACTGTATGTTATTTTGTACGTATTTCCCGTACTATTACCAATTCTAAGATATGGTCTCTAACCGCTTTTATCGGCATTATCTTTAACAGGAAGTGTCATATTTAAAGTGATTTAAAATTAATAAACATTGTGATTTATTGCATTTAAAAATTCATATATGTAAGTTTAACGATTTACCTCATAGAAATAGAAATTTCTATCAGAATTTGGCACCACAAAAATATTTTATTCAAGAATTTTCCATCAATACTATGGTATTACGTCTATACTCGATTTATATTTTATTGTATCCAATATCAAGGTTGACATTAAATATTATGTTCTATTTATTGTATTCATTTTCTTAGAAGACACTTCTTACACTAATAGCATCTCGAAATGAATTACTGTATTTATTTATTTATTTTTTTAAATTTGTATAACCGATTCCATCTTTAGATGACAAATTTTCGATGCCAAAACCGAAAGAATTTTAAGATCTTGAAAAACAGTCTTGGAACTGTTGCTTCAGCCGTGAAATAACATTTAATGTAGAAGAAAAAATGAAAAAAGTATAATATATTCATTTTCTCTTCTGCTAGTAAAAATTACTTTTGGTAAAAAAGGGAAAATAAATTATATCCTTGCGCTTCTCTCTATCGTAGCAGTATTTAGAACTTTGTCGATGAATGTAGTCTACTTTATCGTGGTCGATGTCGTGAATGCAATTTATAGTTTCTCAAAGAAAATTCGGTTCTTTATGAAGCCATAAAATATATTCTTAAAGCCATTAAGAAAGCTAACACATATCTAGTCACAGTAAATTTGAAATTTAATTATTTAATAGCTTTTCTTTTATTAAAAGAAGAGTGTATGACATAAAATAATCTTTCTGACTCGTAGAATAAGATTAATAAGGATCCACACTTGACCTCTGTTCGTAAGGTATCGTTCTAAAGTATATAAGGTGACCCTGCTATAACGCGGTAGTTAGAAAATTCCACAAAAATATCGCGAGACTCAAATTAAGTATAAAAAATCCAGCAATGAGTTGCATAACTTTCTCAGTTATNCTCTAAAATTACAAAAAGCAAGCTCTAAATGAATAATTTGCAAATTTAATTATTCAGTTTTGTTTCTGCGAAGGAAAATTTCGACATTTATAAATTAACATTTAAATTTATTACTTAAATAGGCCTACGCGAATGACAACTGTTTCTACTTCGAAGCCAAAAGAACACAAAAGTCACGAAACGTCAGTGTTGATAATTGGTTTTTATTTTGTTGGACATCCTCCGAAAAAGATTTTTTAGGTCTTCACATCCATCTTAGGCCTACAGAATCGCATTTTCAGCCGTTCGACTGATGTAAAAGTATGGTTATCCGCGTATACTTTTCTCGCGAGAATTCCCAAGTTTTTCATGGAGTTGGGGTCTGAGAGCATCTGGCCAATTCCCATCTTCAAGATCGTTATTACCACTGGAGGATACTAAAATAGAAGCTGACATTATCTTGTACTGGTGTCATTGAAGAAATGGCAGGAAGTTATCGACAAGAGCCAATTAATAATCTGAGCCGTTCATTCTTGATGAAACAGAAGCTTAAAGAAATTTTCCTGCAGAGCTAAATGCCCCCAAATCAGATTACCTCCACAAAGTTACGCTTAGAAACATGGAGAATTTTCTTAAATCTTGCCAATATCCATTCTATTCATCCGGATGGTCAAAGTTAGTAGTGTGATGGTTTGAGGGCATTTAGTGCTGCAGCCATTAGTCATCTGCGGTTTAATGTGCCTAGTCTTCTTGAAACGCTCATTTTGTAAAGNGAGGAAAATTGCACAATATACATTGGCAAATAATATTGTAGTAACCAGGTGGTAGTAACTGAAAGAACATTTACTAGAATAACATAAACAGATAAATTCCTCTTATATCGAAATCGCGTTATACAAGGATTGCTGCAATTTGTGAGCCGCATCATATGAGGTTTACATGTATCTAGTATGTTATAGAGTAGAAAAGAAATGTTGAATAAATAATGTTCTTATAGGATTAGTGTATTTGTAAAAAAAAATGTTAATGTAATCTATCGACTACAGTATGAGTATATGATGAATAATAAAATAACATGCTAGTATGAAAAATATAAGTAAAAATTAATAGGTATAGGTAGAAATTAAATATGAAAGAAGAACGTTAACAAAACTGTCAATAAAATGACAGTTTTGTTAACATTTACTTTAATCTTTAATTTCGTTAAAATGATATTATTGATAGATATTATATTAATGTATTTTCATTAGAAACAAGTCGCGCCCTCAATACTCAATACTTACTCAATTAAGAAAATTTTGAAATATAGGTTAACTCATTTAGAATTTTTATTGAACTTATTAAAGATTTGTGAGAATAAAGTCGGCTGCCCGCATTAATAAAAGCGAAGGGAATTATTCAAAATTTAAAAAATAATCACCGAATTCTGTCAATTATCTTTTCCCAGACTTTTCTGTCCTCATTAAAGTTCTATGAAAGATTCACGGATGGCTTACTTTGATCGAATTCGAAATTAATTCACGTTTCACGGAGAAATTCAATAGCATTAAATTTCTTTTATTCATAATTTAGCATATTTCGTAGCTCCTTGTCATTTAAATATAACGTAAACAACCTTTTATTAACAGTATTTATATATATTTTAATTTTATATTAAAATAAATTAGCTAGATAATATTTTTTATGTAAATTTTTCCAGAGAAGAACTTACGTGTTATGAAATATTCTATTTCGCAGCACGTAAATGGAGGTATAATTTAATATTACATATTAAAAAATAGATATAGTTAGGTAGTATAATTTGAAATTAAATATTTAAAAATTGAAAAAATAGCTTAAATTTTTTCAATTATTATAGATATTTCTAATAAATCCAATGCAAAATGTTATAAATTTAAATAAGATATTACGCGTTATTGGCTTGTATAACATAAATAATTTGATTTTTCATATAAATAAAAACTGAGAATTTTTTCTATGAATGAAATACTTCATGAAAAATATCATTTACCTTTCGTTAAATTACCCATTTCTCCTGAAAACATCAACCAATCTCCGTAACCTTCCAACCATAATTTAGCAGCATGTTCGGCCACACGAATGTCATTATTACCCAAAGCCAATATGACATCGCACTAAACAATATATAGAAAATATTATTTAATATGAATTTTAATTTGTCGAAATTATTTATTTTAATAAATATTTGAGAACTCCGTTTCAAAAGTTCTATTTATAAAAATAAAAAAAGTCATATATTGATTTCGGAATCGAGATCACAGCTTTAATTAAATAGAAATGATTGAATTCGATTTTTAGGTGGAAAGAAGAAAAGGAAAAAAAAACCTCAATAACCGGAATCAATTATGAAAGCGGTTGTACACTAAAGTGATGTTGTGAAACGTGATTTACAGGGGTTTCGTTGACGTAATTCATCCATCCTCAAGGTCGTGACATTTTATCAAGGTCATAATAAACATGATCCGGATGAAATGATATGCACTCTATGATAATTCCCACTGTCCCTACCTCTGTGCCTTTTAAACTAACGAAGAAAATGGCACATTTAATGCTATTTTGTTAGCTGGGATAATAAAGTGAATAGGGTCAACAACCGATCCTTCACAACCGAATAAAAAACATAAAAAAAGTAAAATAAATGTATTTATAATTAGTACAACGAATTATTAACAATGGAATATTTAAAATTTATTAAAAAAAAATAGAAAGTTCGTAAATCAATATATTCGGTGTATAATACATATACTTGTCTAAAAATATGTTGGCAGAATATAATTAAGAAAATTAATCGATTAATATCATGATGATAATCGATTAACTTTGAGAAGTCAAAAATACATATTTTCTGTGAAATAATACATTATGAATCTCACTTTTTTGTTTTAAATAAACCAATCAAAAAACGTTTTAAAATTTAATACATTCTTTTTTAAAGCTAATATTTTGCTTCTTATTTTAAAAAGAAATGGAATAAAATTTAAATATTACGTCAAAATTTTAAGATTATAATTAAAATTAAATTTAAAATTCCAAATTAATATATGCATATATAATTCTATAATAAAGATACTTTATATAGATTTTTTTTTAAATATAAAATTAAAATATATTCATTTTCTC